CCCCAAAACCCCAAAACCCCAAAACCCCTAAATTGGATCATTCATTAGAAGTTAGCAGAATGTGATTTAAATATCATGTATTTAAATTATTCTAAATTACTCAAACTTTGTAGTAAGCAAAAACTGATCTAATATAGTCGTCAGCAGACCCAGCTATTGCTATGACCTTAGCTCCTGGTGGTAGAGACATTGAAAAGCTGTTATTTTAGTTTTGGCTATTAGCAATATTTAGTTATGCTAAACCCACCAAAGCTGAAGGATTCTATTTTTGAGGAGCATCGTCGCCTTTATTGCCCTTTATTTTGGCACCTTATTTGATTTTGCGATAGAAATTAGTTTCCATATTAATCTCTTAAACATACTCCTTGCCAGTTCCATTTATAGTAGTGATATATTCATTATCTCTGAGCTCTAAGATAGCTGGCTCCATATCATAGTTTTGGCATCTCAGTGACTCAATACCACTTTCAAATTCTTCACCATTTTTCAATTCATACACAATTTTAATGCCTCCGAGTACAAAGTATTTAGGATTTATTTCTTTCTCCTTGCCAATTATCTTACCAGGGAACAACTTAATGCACTTCATTCTTTTCACAAACTCCCACATATCATTCCTTAAGGGATTAAACATTTCATATCTTAGCTATATAACTTCTCTGTACGTAGGTGAAATCTCAGCTGTATTTTCACAATCATCGTTTAGCTGCTTTGATGAAATTTATAGGTTTAGTAACCTACAATCATTTTAAAGTATCTAGAGGACCCCCGCGAATGATATGATTTTGTAGTCATCTTATATTTCGAATTCACAATCATGGTCTAGAGCCTTTCTAGCACCTACTCTATACATTTTGCTATCATTAGTTTCAATTTCAATTTAGTGAAGATATGCCTGACCTGAAATCTTTACTCTCTTAATGTACTCGTTTCTTTTAAAGTATAATGAAGTCTTCTTATGTTCTTTATCCTCTTCAGCTTGAGCATCTTACTTTTTCGCTCCAAATAAAACTGCCATTGGATTATTGACTTTGGGTGCGGGTTGTCCCTTCACAGTTGACTTTATCTTCATCTTATGATGGAGAGCATACTTCATGATATCTCCATCTACAAGATAGTAAACCTCTATGCCGTTAAGAAATTCGCCATCATGGTAAAGATCAATTTCATGGATGTGAACATCTTTATATTCGACAAAGTTAAAATCTGCAAAGTCGTCAAAGAATATGTCTTTAAGAGGCATTGGTTAAGATTTTTCAATTTCAATGAACAGTCCGGGGTATTCTTGTGTAAAGTTATTTCTGACTAGCCATTGAGATTTTGAGTTCAGCTCTCTGATTCTCTTAGCGGCAGTAGTGCTCGTCCAAAGATAAGAGAAGACCATTAAAGAAATTGCATCATTCTTGAAGTAAGTAACAATGTACCTAGATCTAGAGGACTATCCCTTGTATTAGTTAGCCCTTAGGATCATTTACTGTGTTTGCATTTATGATTAGTTTATATTACAAAGATATAATGCATCAGCATTATATTAATTAAACGAATAACTCATTTGCAATCATGGGGTTTTGGGGTTTTGGGGTTTTGGGGTTTTGGGGTTTTGGGGTTTTG